GACAGGCTAGGGCCTCTTTTCTCAGTTTTTCTCTTGTGTTTTTCTGGGACATTCTCTGTCCCCCACCGATCACTTGATCAGCTATTTTGTTCCTCCCTTCTGCTAAATCAATAAAACACCAGCGTTGCTGCCCAGTTCAAAAAAGAAAAAATCCATTTCATTTTACCTGCTGCGTGCCATGCCTGCATCGACACAAATCATGCACCCCTTCAGAACCTGCGGTCACACACATAGACTTGTCAAACAAGTTGGAAATAGGGACCGATAGGAGGACGTACCCCTGGTGCGTGGCAGACGCTGCTACGCTCAGCAGGGTTCGACTCGACGGCCTCGTATCAAATCTGCCTCCTTCAAGGCCGTGCCTGACGAAGCCTCCAGCAGCTCGTGGGTCGATAAACATGTCGAAACAGTATCTGAACTGAGCCGCGTGAGAGAGCGAATTCACAAGATATGTTTGCTTGAGCAGGCAGATGTCTGCTGATAAAAAGAACAGTAGTGATAGATACTGTCAGCCGTACTATTCTTTTAAGCACTCATCATCAACGACTGAAACGTACACTAACAGAGGATGTTGCAGTACTCCCTCACAAAGCAAGCAGTCGGCTTTAAACACCGCCATTACTCTGTATACGAACACTAATAACGACCACTCATCATTTCACGGCTCACGGACAGATTTCACGGCGCACTACCTGATGTTTTACTCCTGCAGGGAAGTGCATCCCCAAACAACCAACCAAGCATGCTCCACTCCCGGAAATCACCGCCCAGATCTGAACGGCTCTCCGTAACTTCGTCCTTTATGCGAACATCACTAAGAATTCTTTTAAAAATTCCAAAAAAAAATGTGAGTACCAGTGCAAAATCTAAGGCTTGAACCCTTATGGGATGGTTTCATCATAAGGGAACTAACCATCTGAGCTTAGTTGAAAAATGTTCAATGTGTATCAAAAAATGATATGCGTGTATAATAAAACTGCACAATATTTACTAAAACAAGTAGACATGTGTTGAAAAGAAGAAAATGTAAACAAAAATAAAATCAAAGAAAATCATATGAAGAAACAAAAAAAAAATAGAACCACAGAGAAATTAAAAAGAAAAACTGAGGAAACATAAGAGAACCGTCGGAAACAAACAAATCCGACAAAAGGCAAGAAAAATGATTAAAAAAAGGAAACACATAGAAAAGAAAAACCTTGTCCAGAAAATCACTTCCGTAGTAACCCATAATGGGCCGGCCAGGTAACGCTCGACGTGGAAAACCCTTGAAGCGAGACAGATGGTAGCATTGCTCTAAACTATATATAGCTCCCACGTACCAGGACATATCACAAATTTTCCTACTTTTGTTGATTATAAATGGGTCGATATCACCGATCAAGCCCATGTTCTTATAATTTTTTGGCTCGCCCATTCCTCCATGGCCTATCACATCGCCTTGATTGTCTCAAAATAAAAAAGAAATCCCATTGCCTTCCTCTGTTCATGCGACGACGGAGCGATAGGTTGGAACAATGCAACCGTGTGGCCCTCGGCCCACCAGAGTTCAACGCCGACCGCGCATGCTGCGGGGTACGGGGATATAGCGATACTTTGAGTTTCCAGTCCTCAATTGTAACAACTCTTCTGATGTTTCTTAGCAATAGTAATACGAATCTATGTTGCCACCTTCCCCTCAATTCACTCTTACTGACCATCTCCAGACCATCTCAAACCCCCATCTCCCAGTCTCCCACCTTTGTTCAACAATCCATGAAAATATAATACTTCCTCTGTAAAGTAGTATAATATCTTTTAGATCACTAAAAGAGGAGTATATTAGTTTATAGAGGGAGTGGTAAATTAAATTCATGGGCACTAGAAGCGTTGGCACCATTGATTCATATATCAATGCTCCATGATGTGGCACAAACCCACTACTACTAACCGGGTACTATAAATGTCATTGCTTCTAACTGTGCTTGCCATGTTACAAATGCCATTACAAACATTTGCACGTGACACTATTTCCCATGCCTCTACCTACAACTTCGATAGTACGTGTGCAAGACTGTGAGTGTCTTGATGAATATCATGTGGGATTGGAAGATATTAGGAAAATTATGTTAGGCTCAAACCGGTAGGTGCACATGAACTTCAAGCTACCTCCCACCACAAGTCTATATTTCATGGGGCATTGAGCAACCAAACTCTCTTTCCCCTCTCTAGAGCGTGTGCACCCGCATTCTGTTCAACAACATGGTTATATGATAGTTGTGGATAATTGGTAGGCCCATATTGAGTTACTTTAATGTACATGATGGGTTTTAGCGCCAATCTGTTGTAACCACGTATCCCTCTGTTGTAACCACGTATCCCTTTCCTGATGGAGAGATACCTTGTCCAGGTAAACGAAAGAGGTAGCAAGGCAGGCCACTCACAGAAAATGACTTGTTTTTTTTGTCTCTTTCCGTGTGAGGAAAATCATTTTGAAACATATAATGGTGTCATAGAACAGTCGTACAATCACGAACGAGATGTAGAATTCAAATAGTCTTAACTAAATTTTTACAGGTATGATGCCAATTAAATAATTATTATGAAGATTGTTCCATTTTCTTGCCCGAAACAAATCATGTTTGATTCAGTTAGGTCATGACATGTTGTGTCGGTTGGGGTGTGTTGACTGGTGGGGTATGTCAATTCTTATTTGACACTCAATGTGTCGGATAGACGGGTAAACAAGCATTAGTCGCCCATTCTTGCCTAGCCCATTTACCTCTTTGTCGTTCTTTCTTTTTTCCCGTCTTATTGCTTTCCTTTTCATACATTTTTTTCACCTCCTTGTTTAACTTTTCTTTTCTATGTGTTTTCCTTTTCATTTTCTAAATTTTTGTGGTGGTGAGGGGGCGTAAGTGCTTTGAGCATTTTTAGAAAAGCATATGAAGACATATTGAGACATGCCATCCCTAGCACCAAACCACAATAATGAATCTTAGAAATACAAAGAGTTTTCAGGCACCGTGTATGTTGAATTCCAACGGACAGGCTTATCTATCTTCATTCAGATGGTAAATGTTCTTGGCAGTTTCATAGAACGTGTGAATACGATTGAAAAAAAAAAATAGAGGTACTTTGAAATGATTCTAGGCAACTTGTGTAAATTTGCTGTGAACTTTCTTCCGTTTCAAATTGGACCGGCTTTTTTTACAGTAAAGCGCAGAGTAGTACATCCCGCAGGAAAGTGCATCCCGCAGGAAAGCACGAACCCTAGTAGTAACCAGCGGCACACTACCTGATGTTTTACTCCCGCAGGAAAGTGCATCCCGAACAACCAAGCATGCTCCACCCTCAGAAATCACCGCCCAGATCTGAACGGCTCTCCGTCCTATACGCGCTGTACGGACCGCTTGGATTCGTTCACACGCACGGTAGTAGAAGAAATTTCCTCCTCCCCTGCATGCGGGGTGCGGTGCGGCAGGACGGGGGAGGGGCGGGCCCCACCGCAATCGATGCGGCGCAGCAGTACTCCGCGCCCGCTCCGCTCCAATTTCCTCGCCCTCTCCGTAGCCCCTGCCCCCACCTTTGCCGGACACGCGGGCCCCGCGGGTCGCGAGGACCACGGGTAAAGCGAGCCGGAGCCGGCCGAGTCGCTTACAGTGTGGCCAGTGGTGCGCCCACGGCCCACGTGTCGGCGTGTGGTGCAGCGAGGTGCGTGGATTATTCGGTGACAGGGGCCTCGTGACCCGGGGCCCCCGCGCGTGCCGAGGCGGGTCGGGTGGGAAAGGAAGGGAAATATCTCCGCCGCTGGTGGGCCATCGCGTCAGTCGATCGAGCAGTGACACGTGTACGGCGGCGCACTGTAGGGTGGGGTCGGTCTGTCATTCACGCGTGATATGATGGCAACCGGACGAGACGCCCGGGATCTGGCGGGCGGGTCCCACCACACTCGAGAGCGCGCCCACTCTGCCCGCTCTTTTTTTACCCTCTTTTGTTCCGAAAACCCCCTCTGGAGGCTGAGCTCCAGGGAGGCCGACTTTTGGAAAATTTAAAATTTATCAGAATTCATATTTTATATTTTAAAAAATGTAAAAAATATATAAATATACATGAAGGTATAATGCACAAGTGTGTAAGTTTTTAGGACGAAAACATTGAAATGAGTGTTGTGCAAAAAAAAAACAAATCGTAGCCTTTTTAACGCAAGGTATACTGTTTATCCTTTCAGGCCATGAATTTGTCTTTTTTCTCGTACAGATAGCATTTTGAGATATTTCATCATGAAATTTTACACATAAAACACATAACATCGTTCGTCACGTGTACATTTTTTTTTATTCAAAATTTTCAAACTAGAAAGTTTGTCAAAAAAACCGTCCTCCATGAAGGTCGAGAGCCAAAAGGCCTCACTCCTCTTGTTCCCCCTTTTTCTCGAGGCAACACGCGGTGCGGTCGTAAAGCACAAGGGATTCATGCGCGCTTCCGGCCCTCCCACTTGACTAGCAGTCCAAATGTAGTGGTACAATCATTCATGTAAAAAGAAAAGAGGCAAATGCTTTCACTCTTCTCACTGACTTTACTGCGAAACTAGCCTCAGAGAAGACCGTAACAGTGCAAGCTTCATTTTTCCACTAGCCCATGCGCCCATTGTACACTGCAATCTTTCTTTACTCAAGCTGTCAAGTAGTAGTAGATTCGGACGCAGTAGAATGATTGTTAGGGAGCAGCAGATAGATTATTAGGAGGAACACCCCACGTTCGGCTCCTTAATCCACAGACAAAACCAGAGCCGCACCGAGGGCCAAACTGTTCCAACTTGAAACCCCAAAAGCGCCAAGCCAAGCCAAGACCACTGTCCCGTGTCTTCCTCTCCACTCCACTCCACACTCTCACTTCACTCTCACTCCCATGGATTTTACACTCTCACCGCCTCCGTTCCCCCACTCTCTATAAAGCATCCCGGGCCAAGAACCTCCAGTAAAGTAAGCCAGGCGACATTCCCCTCGAATCCAGCCGAGATGCCGCACCGCGGCGCCGTCCTCGTGTTCCTCCTCGCCCTCGCGGCGGCGCCGCTCGCCGCCGTGGCGTGGCGCCCGTGGCCGCCGCGCGTTGCCAGCGGCGCGCTCGCCGGCCTCGGCGCGTCCAAGAAGTTCGAGGGCTCGTCCAACTTCGTCAAGCTCGAGTACCACATGGGCCGCGTCCTCGCCGCCGACATCACCGTGCACCCGATCTGGTACGGCGCCTGGCCCGCCGACCAGAAGCGCACCATCCGCGCCTTCCTGCGCTCCCTCTCGCCGCAGGCCTCGGGGGAGAAGGAGGGCGCCGTCCCGTCGCCGTCGGTGGCGGACTGGTGGCGCACCGTCCGGCTCTACACGGACCAGACCACGGCCAACGTGTCGGCCGTGGTGGCGCTCGGGCAGGAGAAGTGCGACGCGCGGATGTCGCGGGGGGCCTCGCTGTCCCGGATGGACATCCAGAGCGTGGTCAAGGACGCGGTGACCGCGCGCACCAGGCCGCTGCCCGTGGACGCCGGCGGGGTGTACCTGGTGCTGACGTCGCCGGAGGTCCGCGTGGAGAACTTCTGCGGGCAGGTGTGCGGCTTCCACTACTTCACCTTCCCGTCGGTGGTCGGGTACACGCTCCCCTACGCGTGGGTGGGCAACTCCGCGGGGCGGTGCCCGGAGGTGTGCGCCTACCCGTTCGCCATCCCGGCGTACGTGCCGGGGCGGCGGCCCGAGGCGCCGCCCAACGGCGACGCGGGGGTGGACGGCATGGTGAGCGTCATCGCGCACGAGCTAGCGGAGATGGCGTCCAACCCGCTGGCCAACGCGTGGTACGCCGGCGGGGACCCCTCCTTCCCCACCGAGATCGCCGACCTCTGCGAGGGCATCTACGGCACCGGCGGCGGCGGCGCGTACACCGGCCAGCTGCTCACCGACGGGCGGTCCGGCGCGTCGTACAACCTGAACGGCGTCGGCGGGCGCAGGTTCCTGGTGCAGTGGGTGTGGGACCCCTACCGCAGCTACTGCTCCGGCCCCAACGCGCTCGACCAGCATTAGTAGCCTTTGCGTTTCGTCTCGCCGCCGCCGCACCCTCGCCGCATCTAGCGCTAGCGGTAGTAGTATTCCTCCCACTACGACATTGGATTCCTTGCTCGGGACATCCATGGCCACGGGAGCGTTTCCTCCTGTATAGAGTCAGTGGGACGAAGCATGGTGGTCCGGTCCGGTGAGCCCAGCTTGTCCCTCCTCTGGGCTGGGGACATACGGCTGGTTCATTGTTGGTATGGCTGCGTGCGGACAATGTTTTGGATGTTCAAATTTGATGTCATTTTGTCCATTTCCCCGCTCGGTTCGTTCGAATTTGATCAGCATTACTACGATACTAGCTTGTTTGAAACACTGAGGGTACAATCACTGGAAATCTGGATGAACAACCATTGAACAAATGTAGGGAAGTACACGGCTGCGTGCGTCCACCCCAGGTGTGCTGTGGGCGTTGCACAATGACAATGCGCTCCGAGATGGAAATGATCACAGGCAGGGAGTACAGGAGCTTTTGTCATGGACCGGCCATGGGCATGTGAGCAGGTGGGCGTGTCCTGTGCTGTGCAGCATCAACGGAGCGCAATGATGGTCGATGGGCGTCGCCATTTTGTTCCGTAGCGCACTAGGCTTTCACCAGCTAGGTGTCCGTCCTTGGATCGAGCAGAGTGCTGCTGCTCCGTGGACGTGGTCACGAGTAGGCACCCAACGAATTATTGAGCTAATGGTATACTGTGAAGGAGCCACTGCTGCACAGTCGAATGTCCTGCTCTCCCCGCCATCATAGCTGGGCCGTATGGGCTGCTTTCTCCGTATCGTTTCATTCACTTTGTTTACTGCACCTACTAACACCAAGTATCCTATGGTATTATGGTCATTGGGGGCGTACACGATTCAATTTTTCCTCCCACGTTTACCAACCCAATACCCATGGTCATTCATATCATGGGATACACAATGAATATTCAACCAACATGTCATACTTGTGTGGATGATGGCCTCCGACCTCTCCCTTATACATATACCGCCCCAACTTCGCCAAAGTAGATAGCAAGCCAAGTTGTTTCATTCATACAGGCGATGACCACACATGAACAAAGAGGAATGTGAGAAAAATAGCCTATGCAAACGGGAATTGGAGACATCAGAACATGAGCAGCATTGGGTATTTAGCAGCTCAATCTTGTAAGTTTTCCATAGGTTGAAAGACGCATTTGTCCAAGTGTCAATGGACTGCCAATGTCGAGCGATGCCTCGGCCCGAACCTCTGTATTATTTCCTCCGCCAATTGCATCCTGGGGGTGCACGGTCGCGTTTCGTAGCTCGTCGACTATGCGCATGCAAGTCACTTAATTCTTGTGCCCAAACGTTAGCATGTCCCGCCTGACTCGGGATCTTGGCAATTGGGTGGATGCTGACCACGGTGGTGAAGACCGTGGGAATGTGGTTCTCTTGCACAAAGATGTGTGCAATCCCTTTGTTGATGGGTTAATGTGGTTCCCTAGTGCTCATGTCATGGCTACTATGAATGTTGTCGCCTCAACCTTCGCCCTTTGGCTCCGTTGTGAGAATGCCAAGTCCACTGCGGTGGCTCTTCATTCACTCATGGCCGACTTTTATCAACCGGGGCATTTTAGTTCAGCTTAAAATTAGCAACTTCGAATCGCTTGGTACCTAGAGAAGTTTTGAAATAATTTTTGGGTCCTTATCAACTGCTCTCTCCGTAAACTAATATAAGAGCTTTTAGATCACTACTTTAGTGATCTAAATGCTCTTATATTAGTTTACAGAGGGAGTCGTAGTTATAATTTATATTTTGGCTATATGATATTGCCTACCCTGTTGGCCACTACCACGAGCTAGGGCTTGATTAGCAGGAGAATCTTATTAGTAAAGGTTTAAATATAATAAAGATAAGCTTCGGCGAGTCGGCAATTGTTCTATCTTTCAAGAATATATTCAAATGTCTTGCCGATGATACAGTAACCTTTTAGTATATTGTTTAACGAAGAAATTAGTGGAATTCATGTACTTTATTGTCTCGTGCAAGGAATTGTCTTGCTTTGTTCATAGACATAAAATATCCCCAGATAATCATTGCTGCAACAGTGTTACTCTCTTAGTGTTAGATTTATCGTTTTGATGAAAGACAATAAGTTCGGACAATCGGTTCTAAACATAGTTAAACCATCTCAATTACCATATCCAGACACCTCAATTACCATATCTCAAATCCATACAAACTCATACAACTACGTCGACGCACATGCATCGTCCGGCTACTCCATCACACCACACTAAACATGCCATCAGACTACCAAAATTTAGCATGTTTGGCTATGGTGGAGTTCATGCACGGCTGCCCTTGCCCTTCCCGGCGCCCTTGCCGTCCTTCTCGTGGAAGTACCGGTCGAAGACGCATTACGGATCAAGCTGGATCTGCTCGTCGCTGGAGTTGTCCTGGTCATCGCTGTCATCGCCATGGCACGGACCGCCCGATTCTGCTCTCGGGCGAGGGCGCGCATGTTCCTTCGTTGTTGTTTCTTCATAATGCGGGCATGGATGGGTTCCTTCTTTGTGGCCGCCCACGCCGCCGCATCAGCCGCCTCCGCCGCCACCATTGCCGCCGTGATACGGGCCTCGGCGGCCCTTATGCTCTCCTTCCCACGGCGGGCCGCCCGTTCCTGGTGCGACTCATACTCTGCCCGACCGGTGATGGGGAAGGATAGGTGTTTCGGTCGGGACCGCGAGGATCCAGCACCCGAGCGCCTGGTGAGCCGATGCTATGGCGTCGCGGCGGACGGGTCCATCCGTCAGCCGGGCGCTGTGTCCTCCCGGGAGCGGCAGAGTGCAATGTGGACTGCCATTGCCTCCTCCAACCCACACGGGATGACACTCCAATCAACGGATCTGGACTGGTCGGAGTCCGATCCGCTCCCTGCAATGGCGGAGAAGGCCGAAAACCACCGGAGGTGAGCTCGGGTGGCGGAGAGGAGTGGAGTGGAGTGGAGTGGAGTGAAGTGAAGTGGCTAGGGTTTGCTCCGGCGAGAGAATGGGGATGAATATAAGTGGGGTCGGCTGGGACAACATGGGCCGGGTCCGACGTGGTGGGCGTGCCCGGGCGCCCACATATCTGCCCCATATTTGTGTAGGATGTGGGGGTGGCGGTCAGCCCAGGCGTTTGAGGCCCGTTTGAGGCATCCGTCTGGGTCGAAAAAACGTGACCGGACAGTGACCGGGCAGCCCGCCTAGGCGTATGAGGCGGGTTTGAGAGATCCGGCTGTAGATGCTCTTATAAACAAGTTTTCCAAAGAGACTGGTTCTACTGCTTCGTGGTCACAAGTTCACAGTGTTACTCTCAAGGCGGACCTGTAAACCTCCCGCAACCGTCCGGACCACGTTGTCCGGACCGCGGGGCGGTCCGGACATGATTTCTCCTACAAATCAGAGACAAAAGTGGGGGAGGTTTGTGGGAGTCCGAACCGCTCCCAAGCCTGCTTCTGACCGCCGTGGCTCACCAAAAACTTGTCACCTGTCCCTCCTGCGCTTTCCTTCCGATGCACACAGCCGCTTACTGCGCCGCATTCGTGTCGGACCAGAGCATGCGGAGGCCGGCATTGATGTTGCGATGAGACCGGAGGGAGGGAGGGCGGCGCTGACCGACGCGACCTCTCGGCAGCCGCCGCTTCAATGCGGACGCAGGTTCGAGAGGCATTGTAGCAGCTGGCGCCCTTCGCATGGCTTGGGTGCGGCTATTTAAGTTGTGCTCCGGTGCCTCCAACATCGCATACTCCTCCTTCCTCCTCCTCCTCGCCTATCTCCCTCAACATCTCCGGCGACAGGCAAGTCCTGGGCGTTGGCGTCGGCAAGCGGTTCTAGGGCGGGATCTGGCGTCTCGTGGAGACACCGCCCTCGAACTACGGGGCCGTCGTCCTCGTCGGCTGGCAGCGAATTGCCGTGGGCGAAGATCGTCATCTCCTCTGGCGATGAGGAGGACTAGCAGCCGCCGCTGCCACAACGGTTTGCGCCAGAGGTGTCGGGCCAGGTCTACACCGACACCAACATAGATTACGAGTAGCAGAAAGAGCTGATGCTCCATCGCTCCGTCGTCCACACCAATGGCCTGGCTCCGCCACCGAACGGCTCCTCCCGTGAAGCCGGAGCCGACATACCATCCATGTTATCTGCCGCCGCACAGTCGCGGAGTCCAAATCAGACGCCGCATTAAGTAAGAGCAGCTCTCGCCGCTGCCCCGGCGCGTCATGAAGGAGGAGCGTCTCTCGCCGCTGCCCCGACGTATCATGAAGGACACACGCCGCTGGCCCCTGCCGCACCTACCCAAGGTGCAGGTGTGCGGCTGCTTGATGACCCACAAGTGTAGGGGATCTATCGTACTCCTTTCGATAAGTAAGAGTGTCAAACCCAACCAGGAGCAGAAGGAAATGACAAGCGGTTTTCAGTAAGGTATTCTCTGCAAGCACTGAAATTGTAGGTAACATATAGTTTTGTGATAAGATAATTTGTAACGGGTAACAAGCAATGAAAGTAAAAAAGATGCAGCAAGGTGGCCCAATCCTTTTTGTAGCAAAGGACAAGCCTGGATAAGTTCTTATAATGAGAAAAACGCTCCCGAGGACACATGGGAATTATCGTCAAGCTAGTTTTCATCACGTTCATATGATTCGCGTTCGTTACTTTGATGATTTGATATGTGGGTGGACCGGTGCTTGGGTACTGCCCTTTCTTGGACAAGCATCCCACTTATGATTAACCCCTATTGCAAGCATCCGCAACTACAAAAGAAGTATTAAGGTAAACCTAACCATAGCATGAACCAAGTGGATCCAAATCATCCCCATACGAAGCAACGCATAAACTAGGGTTTAAGCTTCTGTCAGTCTAGCAACCCATCATCTACTTATTACTTCCCAATGCCTTCCTCTAGGCCCAAATAATGGTGAAGTGTCATGTAGTCGACGTTCACATAACACCACTAGAGGAAAGACAACATACAT